GTCCTCAGTGCAGGGTCCACAGTGTTCCCAGCACAGTAACAGTATCCCCAGTGTCCCCAGTGCAGAGTCCACAGTGTCCCCAGTGCAGCTCCCAGACCCCTCAGCACGGGGTGACCATTTTTGGTCCCCTCCATGGACCAGAGGGTCCCCAATGCACCCGGTGCACGGCCCTCTGTGGTCCCAGCACACAGTGACCATTTTGGGTCCCCAGATGGCTGTCACAGTCCCTACAGTTCAGCACAGGGGCTGAGTGCCAGGGCCCTGTGTTAATGGCATGTCCCCAGTGTCACCATGGTGCCAGTGTGGAGCCACTGTCATGGGTCACAGGCAAAAGGTCCCCATGGTTCTGGGATCATGTTCCCAATACCTCCAGCATGGGGTGCCCAGTGTTACCAGCCAAAGGCCTTCATGGGTCTGGCATACAGTGTCCATGTTGGGTCCCTCACAGCTGGGACAGTGTCCCCTGTGGCCCCAGCATCTCCAGCCTGGTCTCTCCTTGACCCCAGCACAATGTCCTCAACACCCCCAGCACTAATTCCTTAGGTTTTAATTTTTCTGTTCTGTTTTGGTGTTCAGCTTTAGCTTTATATTAAGTGTTCCTATGATCTTTTCACAGGGTGGTGGAGACAAAACAATCCTGTTCTAGCTGGACACTCAAGGATAATCTCTTCAAACTTCAGGTCTGAAGCATGAACAAGGTGAGAAGAGGAGGGTGGGCAAGCAGCCAAGGAGGATGAAACTTCGTAATTTGAAGCTCTTAACTAGACAGTTAATTCCTGTATGCAAAAGGACTAAAACTTATAAAAATGTGAGATCTCATGACTGAACCCTCCTTTGCTTCCATCTTGGAGCTGTCCGGGCAGAGCTACGACTGTGGTTCAGGTATTGCCAGGGTGTGGCCTTTGAAGGCACTTCAATAAATCTCCACTTTATTCCTCTTAACTCTGTCTAGCCTCTGTTTCAGCTCCTTAGGACATCAGCACCATGCCACCATCTCCAGCCTCGTGTCCCCAGTGTCCCCAGTACTGTGTCCTTGTAGCCCCACTACAGAGATTCCACATTGGTCCCCAGTGTCCCCATTGGGAGGTGTCAGGAGCTTCCAAAGCACCCCAAAACACACAGAGCCGCTGTCCCCACACAGTGAAGAACTCCTGAGGTGTGAGCTGGAGGCTCGGTGTGAGTTGGGGGTGCCAGTGTGAGTTGGGGGGCTCGGTGTGACTTGGGGGTGTCAGTGTGAGTTGCGGGCCGCGGCCCCTTTAAGGCGGNGGACCCCCAACATGCCAACACCCCCTGGCATAGCGGGACCCCCAACATGCCAAAATTCCCTGCCACAGCAGAGATGCAGCACCAGGAGTGGGGTAAAATCCCACTGGACCCCACAGCCAGGCCCCAGCTCCCCCCAAGATCACCCAAGACTGGAGACAAGAAACCCTGCATGGGCTCCCCCCATCCCATGGGGGTCCCAGCACCCCAAAATAAACAATCAGAGCCCAGAGGAGCCCCTGGGAAGGGGAAAGAAGAGAAAAGCAAACCCCAAGGCGGGGTGGCACCCACCAGGATGTTGAAGGGGGCAACACCTGCCTGGGTGCTGGCGGGTGGGTACCCGAAAACCTCCACCTTGGGGTTCTTCACCATGCAGGACACGGAGCGGTTCATCAGGCGGTTCACACGGGGCTCGGGGATGCCCAGTTTGCCCTTCAGCACTGAATCTTGGATAACGGGGAAGCTGGGAGACCTGCGGGCACAGAACCCCCCTGAGCACCTGCCTGGCACCGTTCCCTGCTCCTCCATCACCCAGTGCTGGATCCACCCATCAGATACTCCTTGGGAGCAACCTCCAACTGCTTGGGATCTGGTAGGGAGCAGCAGCATCCAAGTGGGGAAACTGAGGCACGGTGCCAGGCCTCACCCAAGATGAGGGGATGGAGGGATGTCCCCAGTGAGGACAGCACAGGGACCTTACTTGGGGATGGGTGAGAAGATGCTGAGCCCAGCACGGAACTTCTTGATGGTGCCGCTTGTCTTGAACCAGCTGTGCCGCTTCTCCTGCTGGGTCTTCAGGAAATCGTTGCTGAGATGTTTCCATTGCTGGGATGTGAACATGCCCAGGATCCTGGCAAACAGGGAGGACAGCACCCATGGGTGCTTGGTGGTCCATGACACCCCTAGCCCCTCCTCTTCCCCACACACAGATGGTGGTGAGCCTGTCACAGGATTGTGTGGTGTATAAAAGGTGCTGGCAAGGGGACATGTGGCACGTGGCCAGTTTTGGGGCAGAACAGCGACTCTGTGACCCACCCCACCCACCCACCACCCTTGGGTGCCCACCATGTTTCAGCTCTTACTTCTTCAGCTGCAGACCCAGCCCGAAGCCCTCCTTGTTGGACGGCTGGAAAACCTCGATGGACGGTTCTGTGGGCAGAGAGGAGGATGAGGAGCCACGGGTGCTCCACTGTGCCTGTCCTGAGGGCACAGGGACCCCATAGCCCGCCCGTGCCCACTCACCGGGGCCATCGAGGTACTGGGACAGGGAGAAGCGCAGGCGGAGGACGATGGGCTCCGTCCGCAGCACCTTCCACGCCGTCGCCACCTCCTCCTGCCAGGGCACACACACTTTGGCACAGCCATGGGAGCTCTGCCCAGGCAGGGGCATCTGGAGCCCCCCTGGGTGCCTGTGCCCACCCTCCCATGCCAGCAGTGCCGGGGGCACCGCAGGGACTCACATCGAGGAAGCTGATGTTCACATGGAGGTCGATGTCCACGTCATCGATGGTGCCATACTCCCTGTGAGGACAGGCATTGCTGTGGCACGGGGGGTGGCACAGTGCTGGAACAGTGGCCTGGTGCCCACCGTGCCAGGGTGGGCAGGCTCACGGGACAGGGACATGGCACATGTGGCTCCCCGTGTTTCAAGTGTGTGCACGGGGGGAGTGCCCAGGATGTGGATGTGAACCTGGGAGTGTGACAGCACAGCCAGGTGCTCATGGGTGGCATGGCCAGGTGTGCTAGGGGTGCCATGGCCGAGTGCCTTGGAAAGGCACATCTGGATGCCTGCACATGCCACAGCCAGGTGCCTTGGTAATGCCATAGTCAGCGGCCCTGAGGATGGCACAGCT